GAGCCACCTAGACAACACAAAACAGTAGGCCCATTAACCTTAGTGAGAGCTTTAATTCCTTCAGGGTGATGAGATTTCTTTCCTTTTCCTCTCAAAAACATTTTAAGTTCTATATGGAGAGTTAAGATGGGGAGTTTTATATGGAGATTGACTTTGGTCTAGTGTCTGGGATCAAATCTGTTTAATGTAATCACAACATAAGCACAATTTCCCACTGCTTTGGGCCAATAAAGATTGTTTAGGGAACTAGACAAAGATTGTAACATTTTTGTTAAACTGTGCATCTGTAAATCTCCACTTTTGCTATAACCATAATATTTTTTTACATGTTGCTATAGTCAAATGGTTCTAACAAGGAAACTTTGCCAATCTACTGATTGGTTCCATATCCTACTCCTGGGGGAATTCTGCACAAAAATATTAAAAATTCTGCACCGAGAATTAAAAATTCTGTGCACAATATTTTAAAATTCTGCGCATTTTATTTGTCAAACTAATGCAATATAATCATTCCAGTTTCAATTATTTTGGTAGTTTATTTAAACTACAATGCAATGGATGGAGAATGGGAGTGGGGAGCATTGGAAGAAATCCCCAACCCCCCTTGCCTAATAGTAATGTCACCAGGTTTGACCCTTTATTTCTAGTTACTAGTCAACAAATATATGCAGCCGTATGCTCAGTGTTACATCATAGGCAACTGAAGAGCAAGTGGGGGCTGGGAAATCAAACTCACAATTTATATGGGCTACTGACCATCTCCAGAAAGGTAAGAACCAAACAATTCATGGAGCACATTTTAATAGAAATTTTTTTTCAGTTCAAAAATGTAGACCAGTTCTAATCACTAAAGCACTATAAGCATGTGTAAGACCATATTGTCCTTTACACCACGCTGGCAATGTAAAGGAGCCTTAAAAGTTTTACACCTGTTTTATCTTCCTGGGGAAATTCACAAAGGCGATGGGAACAATTCACTAAGCAGGTAGGTTGCTACATTTTGCTTTGCCCCACACCTACCTCCCCAGAAACAACCCAAAGCCCTGGCTCTCCACACCAAGTGTGCCGCAATAGCAAGCATGAGGGACAGAGTGTCTCTCTCCTCTCACACGCACGACTGCCCAGCCTTCCCGCCCCTGTCCTAGTGGTGATTTATGTCTCTACCTGCTGCTCCGAGTGCCTGAACCAACCTGCCTGCACTGCCGGGGAGAGGCTCATGACCGCTCTTGTGGGTTTCCCTTTGCTTCCCCATCAGAAGTCATTTTTCTGTGGGGAAGCAAAAACATTTGCGGGGGACATGAATTCGGCACGTGCACAGTGACGCAGAATTCCCCCAGGAGTAATATCCAGAACAGTACAGTCAAAGGACTGCGTGCGGAATAGCAAATGATCTTCAGGTAGAAAGGTTCACAAAGTGAGTGACTCTCCAGGAGTGTTTTGAAGGAGGCAAAGGGAAAAGGGGTTTAGCAAATATTAATTACAAGACTGTGCTGGGTGTGGGGGATTGCATGAAAGGAGGCACAGAACTGGGAATGAACAAAGGATGGTCTTATGGTTAAAGCTGGGGTTCAGAAATCTGAGTTCATGTCCCAGCTCTGCAACAGGCAGATGAGGGGTGGGGAAGATGCTGGATTCATTAGCTAATGTATTAATTGTAATGTTGTTATATTTGATGGTTCAAGTGGTCTTTTCCAGCCCTACGCCTGCATCTTAGTGATGAAGCCACACAGTTATTTTCTAATGCTGTGTCTTGTAAATAAAATTTTGGATTTGCTGATTAAAAAAGAAAATCTGTACAAACTTCAAAAAATCAATATAAAATGATGATTTTTTCGCTCCCCTGGGATTTTTTATATCAGGCGACATTAGCTGTAAAGGCTGATATGAATCAGCAGAGGAGGCAGGCTGTCAGGGATAGCAAGGGAGATTTCACCATTCTGCTGCACTAGAGAATACTGCAGTGAAGTAACATATTCATTTCCTGCAACTTTTCTGTAGTGATTGAGGAAGCTTGACCCAGGCTGATGCTCCTTCTCTACTGTATTATGACCTCCCCCATTACCCTTATTACAAGCCTGAGATGCTATACTTTTTTCATAAATATTGTCTTAGTTTTATGTGGTGCCTTTCCATCACCTCTCCATCTGGTTGTCCTGTAGTACCTTGCTGGTCAAGTGCTTAGGGGCACTCCGTTCGATTTCACTGGTCTGTTCATTTGTGCCCCTGCAATGTTGCCACACTCAGCTTACAGTACTATTAGCTTTTCTCATCAAATGCTCAGTCAAATATGCTCAGTCACATATGTGGGTCTGCTCAGTCACCTGCCCAACCACATCCTCTCCCCACATCCTGAATCTGATGGACGTGTTTAAATCTCCCGGAATCCACGACTCTCCTTACAGCCATTGCCAACCTTAATCTTTCATAAGAACGATCGGTACTGTCGCCGCTTGCCCTCTAGAAACAGCAGACGGTAGCAAGACACAAACAGTTAGTAGTCAAACTGCAGTTTGCCAGCTAGAGTAGGAGTCTGAGACAGACTGAGTTTTGTTTATTTTTTTGGCAAGACTATTCGCTATCACAATCGATCTGTTGTGCTGTCTGTAAGTGTTGCCCAGTAGAAGATCAGGGAGTCGGGCCACCTGGCTTCTGTTCCTGATTTTGCCGCTGATTTGCTGTGTGATATTGGAGAACATCATTTAATCTCCCTGTGCCTCAGTTTCTAGTTCCCTAAGTTCCTCAGCTGAAAGGTGGACAAATACCATATTAATAGTAGTGAGGCCCTCTAAGTTACAGTCCTTTCAGAAACACTAGATTTTCCCTTTGAAAAAAGCATATCAAATTTAGATACTCCGTGTGCTAAGATAGCAAAAAGTTTGAATTGAAGGTTTTGTGTAGGATTTTCTTTTGCCTAATGCGGCTGCCTATCGCCAGCTTGGAATGACTAGAATGACGCACACGGGTGACACCGCGCAATGGCGGCTGTGATTTACTGTACATCCAGGACGTGGTTTATACTGGGGAGGGAGGGATTGATGTCTGCATGGCACAGAACAAACGTGGTAACTGGGAAGGTAATACATCATATTTTAGTTTATGATGGAGGAAAAATAATTTAACAACCTTACTTGGATCATTTGAGCACCCCCTGAAGACAGATTAGAAAGAGTTGCTGCTCTTTTCTCCTTTTCTGGGATAACTAGATCATTTAACAGATTGACCCTCTCTCTCTTTTCTATGTTTGCATGGTGAAATCTAGGTCTCCAGGGATCTGGTTTGACCATTTTCTTAATTCATCATGTTTGATATTACAAGTTTGTGAAAGACAAAGTCTCCATCTCTCACCAGATGGCCCTACCCAAGAGAAGGGCATGGTCTCAGCATGAGCTTTTAATTTCCAGGCAAGATACCTAATTAATAGTTTCTGTCTCTTGGGAATTTGTAGCACATGATTGATTGTGCTGGTATTGAATCTCGGGATGTGCATATATATTACATCTGTGTTTACCCAGTCTGATAACTGCAGGAATTTTAATAGCACAAAGACCTCCAGGGGTATAGTCACAAAAACTATTTATTCTCCATTGAATTAAGGCCTGACTGCTCTCCATGTAGACCTGTCAGGACCATGCTGTTAAACATAATCCCATGTCTGTGTTTTAGTTATCAAAATAACAGATACTGTTTAAGTTACAGATGATCAAGCTGATATTTTGTGTTTCTTTTCCCGCTCTCTAGGTGTTTCCCAGCCAAGATCCACTGGACAGGGCAGACTTCAATGCTGTGGAGTATATTAATACTCTCTTTCCAACTGAGCAAGTAAGTCAAATGCTTGGGGTTCTGCTGTCCCATGAGCCATGGGGTAACCTTAATGGTGATTCAATGTGTAAATCCCCCTGCATGTCCATAGAAAGACAGGTTTAAAAATATACCCAGGGCTTCTTTCTAAAGAGCAGCAAAATTATGACTTTCAGTGGCAATTACTTCTTAAACTCAGACCTAGTGAAATAGAATGACCATCTCCCAATGTGCTAGCTGGAGTTTCAAATATAATGAAAGTTCCATTTTGGTCTCTAGAAAGAAACAGTTTCACTATGCAAGGGTTTGTTTGTTTTTGCAGTTGAATTTCAGATCCTGCTGGATCAATATACTGGGAGGCCCCAAGGATTCTAGCCACACCAGGGATGTTTTGAACGTGAAGTGTCAGCAAGTCCAGTCACAATCAGACTAGATTTTAAAACCATTGTTTCCTTTCAGGGATAAGGAATGGAGATCTAGTGGGGTCGAATCCTTCCCTAGTTCAACCCACGAACTAGGCTTGGCTTGGGGTTGGGAGGTCTATTGAGATGATGAGGGCCCTTGGGTGAGCTCCTGAAAACTTGCTGGAACTTCCTTGATTCTGCTGCGTTTGGGCTGACTGCAGAAGCAGAGCAGGCAGTAGGATTTTTCCTTTTAGGAGCTTCTGTTCAATTTGTTCTGCTTGATTTGCTCACACCCAGATACCAGTCAGGCATCCTTAATTGCTGTGGATCTCAGGCATTCGGGGCCCATTGCATTCCTCTGGGGGTTGCTGAAGTTCAAAATACTGTAAGGTTGAACCCTAACATACTTTGATCCTATTTGCTTTTTGACTGCATTATCCACTAGAGGTCACCATCACCATTTCCTTTAACTGCTTCCTCTGAAGGAGGATTCGTAAAATCGCAAGGAGAAATCGTAGTTGTACTCGGCGTGTTTATGCATGTGCAGGGGCGAGTTGAAGAGTCATTGTAGTCTGTAGATCTGGCTTGTGTTCCAGGCTCTGTCACTGACCTCTACGTGACCTTGAGCAAGTCACCAAACTACTTGGTGCCTCAGTTTCCCTGCCTATAAAAGGGGGATTATGCTACTGAATCACCTTTGTAAAGTGCTATGAAAGAAAATGCCAAGTATTATTCAAAGGGAAGTTTGAGTCTCCGATTTGCGTGTATGTAGCGAAAAAACATTTTTCTTTTGAAAAATTGTTTTTTATCTTGCAGTCTTTGGCAAACATTGATGAAGTTGTGAACAAAATCAGACTGAAAATAAGGTACGTACTGCTCTGTTTCCTTTCATTGTCACATAAGTGGGAAATGGCCATATGGTTGTTAGATTTTTCATCCAACTCTTTCCTATAGTGTGTGCCACTCAAATAACATCGCTCTAATGCAGTGTTTCTCAACCTCACGAAAGACAATTGGGCACTGAAAATTGTGTTACAATTCTAAAGCAAAGAAAAACAAAACTCCCAGAATAACTTCGGTGGCCAAAACCTTCTTGTTGGTGAGATCAAACATCGTAGTTGTAGTGCATAAGCTTTATTGTTGTCATTCTTACGTTTGTTATAAAGGTAAGCATAAAAAATATAAGGGGGTTGTGACATTTTTTTTACTTTGAAGAAAGGATTGTCTACTTGAAAGCACTGCTCTAGTGCAGGAGAACCAGAAAGGGAAACTGCCCAGTCTCATAACATTGGTCAACTGGAGTGAAATGCAAAAAGTGAATTGGATTTTAAAAATAATTTTCATATTTTGCCAATATTCAGTGTTGTTGCTAATATTCAGGAGAATAGGAGGTATTTATAAAAATGTCGGTTTTATGCTGTCAGCACCATTTAAAAACAAACCAACCCAAGTACAATTTTTTTTCTTTCTGTGCACTGATTTTCACAACCGATCTGTGCCATGTATGCAGTAGGTTATGTTGACGTTGTCTGCTTTTCCCCAAAGGAGGCTGGATGACAATATTCGAACAGTAGTGAGAGGACAGACAAACGTGGGACAGGATGGCAGACAGGTACTTGTGTCTTCTATCACAAAAAAATCCCAAGCCTCTCTTCTCCCTCTGCTAAAAAGAAAAACAGCTATGGCATGCAGAAGTCTCAAAGACTCATGGACTTTAAGGTCGAAAGGGACCATCATGGTCATTAGTCTGACCTCCTGCACATTGAAGGCCACAGAACCTCATGCACCCACTCCTGTAATAGACCCCTAACCTCTGGCTGAGTTACTGAAGTCCTCAAATCAGGGTTTAAAGACTTAAATACAGAGAATCCACCATTTACACTTGTTTAAACCTGCAAATGACCTGTGCCCTTGCTGCAGAGGAAGATGGAAAACCCCCCAGGGTCTCTGCCAATCTGAGCCGGGGGGAAATTCTTTCCTGATCCCAAATATGGTGATCAGTTAGACCCTGAGCATGTGGGCAAGACCTGGGAAAAGATGCTCTGTAGTAATTCGGAGCCCTCCCCATCTAGTGTCCCATCGTAGCGATGCTACTAACATCTTGCACACACACACGTAACACTGTATGTACCACGGAGAATGAATACACGAAGTCATATTGAAGAGTCACTTACAGACACAGCTGTTATTACTCGTCTTCTGATCAGTCTATGGAAGGAGGCAAGAGAGAAATTGAGTTTAATGAAATCAAAACAGAAACGTGATGCCTGCAGTTGAGTCAGTCTCAGAAGTTGATTCCAGAGGTATAGGAGGAAAGCAGATAAAAACAGGCCCACTGTTAAGTGGGAGTGGATAGCTCAGGGGATTGATACTGGATATGGAGCCTTTTAACTAGGTCACTGATTGGAATGTCCTAGGGCATTACTGCCTGACTGAGTGGCCCCCATGAAACGAGATGGCAGGTTTCCGTTTCTTCTCTATTTGACAAGTGTCTGTACCCCAGTACCCAGAACTTAACAGCAAGACCAAGGATATAGTAGCCATGAAGACTGAACTACCTTCTTACCTGTAGATATGATTCATCGTTGAGGCACCTAGCACTGTTGCTGCATGTCTTGTAGCTGTTTTATGGGTAAACCGGTAGCTTCCATATCAATCCAGCACCTTCCATGAGTATTACATTTAGTATTAAGAAGAGGAAACAATGTTTAAGAAGTAGTACCTGGAGACAGGACTACCTTTCCCCCACTAGTAGACCCTTTGGATGTATTTTTCAGTTTTTCCTGAAGTACAGTTTGTGTGGGTTTGCTTCTTTCCTTCTGGAGCACACAGTGACAGACTCTGTTGAAAGCCTCAATCTGAAGTGCACCTGCTTGCAAAAATCTACCATGACGAAAGAATAACTGCTAGACAAATAAAAGCACTTGAGCCCATGTGCCAAGTGATGAAAGATGAGCTGTTCTGCATGGAAAGGACACAGACCACCATTAAAACGTATTCAGTTTGCCACTCCCAATAGACTGATCTTGTAGTTTATAGTCACAAATAAAAGAACCTACACAAGTAGGTCTTATGAAGTGTGGACTGAGCCCAGAGATAGGAGCCAAGGACTTCTTGAGTTCTCATCCTGTTTCCGCTGCTGATTCTTGCTGTGGTTTGAGTAAATTATTTAACCTCTCTTTGCCTCAGTATTAATGTCTGGAAAATGGGGGTTGTTTACCTATCCCAGGAGGACTGTTTAACATTGGTATGGATCCCTGAGCACTAAATATTACTGAGTTAGGGACACATTTGGCAGATATCATGGTGGAGACTGGAGACTATTCCTAGAATAAGAGAAAATGTGAAAGACAGCCTGGGTCAGGAGTGAAGTGTGGGGCCAGCAGAGTGGTCAGGAGAAGGGTGTCAGAAGAAATGAGGTCAGAAATACACATGGAAGGGGAGTTGTTGAGGCTGAGGAGAAGCCAGTGCAGCAATTAGAGAAGAGGGTTGAAACATGCTCAGGATGACAAAAGCGAGGCAGATGGTTTTGGCAGCAGCTTCTCGGACAGACTGAAGGGTGGAGGGGTGATTGGGAGAACACAGAAGAGGAGGAGAGTGCAGTCAAGGGGAAAAATTATAAGAGCATGGCCTAGGGTTTTGGCAGGTCCAGGGGATGAATTTGACGAGGGGGACAAAATAAAAGAAGCTGTTCCTACATGGTGACCAAAGGCCACAGCTCAGCAGTGTGTGTCCGTGCTGAGCATCCATGGAAATACTGGCTGTGGAATCCTCTGTAGAGAAACCTCTTGCAAGAACCGCTGGACAGAACTTGCGGAGGCTGCTTGGGATTGACTTGCTAAATGAGTTTCCTAGGCTGTTGACGGATGTGTACTATGGAGGTCCAGCATCCTCCATGTGAAGCTCTGCCTTCTATGTCTCACATCCTTGAGTTCCTTAGAGGGTCACTGTGCCATATCGAAACAGTGCAGGCCTTAGCCAGTACCCTGTGCAGTAGCACTGGAGGGTGTCGGAGAAAAAAACAGATTTCTCACTCTCAGGTTGGGTGCAGCAAGTCAGATACTTTATTATCTCTAGCAATTGCGTGGAGGGAGAGAGCAAAACAGGTCTCTCACAGGTAAACAATTACAGCAAGCATTTATACCTTTTGTTACATACAATAACGGGCAACAGCTGCATTTTGTTTATACATATGTCATCCTGATATCTTATTTTCCTCCTCAATTTAGACTATAGTCTACATTCCATACTTATCTAACACAAGGTCGCAACAACTTCTCACACAGTTCTTTCCCACTCGCCTCACACAATCCTCGCTTCTACAAATCTCGCGTTATTAGGGTTACAGCTAGCCTGACTCTTGCTTACGTAAGGAGACTGCGTGGATTTGAAATCCCCTTCAAATCCCTGTCAGTTGTTTCTCTACTTCCACAAGGGGTAAATACGTTTGTGAAGCCCCTAGTTAGTTTGCCTGTTAAGGGACTTATTAAAATTCCGTCAGAATAAAACCACAGAATATTTACGTGTGTGGGGCATGTTTATGCAGAGTCCCTTTGAAGTGGCTTAATGCAGTATTTAGTCGTGAGCGTTTCCATGTTGAATCACTTTACTGCTGTTCAAAGTAATAGCGCTTTATTTTACTGAACGTAACCAGAGTGTGTCATGTTAAAGGCAGGTACTCTTCTAGCAATGCAACTAAGCCTTTAATACTTTCAAAGAGTTTGAAATATTGACACCAAGAAATTGTTGAAAGCTTTATTCTCTCTCAAGGATCCGTGTGTATTTTAAAGGATGCGTGCTTTCCTCTGTGCCTGTACAACATACATGTATGTATGTGTGAACACATGTTTTATACATGGATTGCTGGAACAAAGCTGTGTCAATATTGGGAAGGGCAGGCTTAGAAGTATCAAACTTGCAGGAATGTCAGTAATTCAGACATTAGTAGGTCAAAGGGTACTGCAGTTGAGCAGGTCAGATTACAGAGGGAGAGAAAGTTGTGAATAGCATTTCAGTTAGAGATGGAATTTTGCATTCATCTCCCCAGAACCCAGACAGAAAGGAAACACAGAAGAAATAATTGGTATTCCTGTCCATGCCATAGTTCTTTCTTTCTCAGCGGCTCAGGATGCAGGCGAATGGAGAGAGGGGCCCTTTCAGAGAATGGCCTTGTTAATAGTTTGTGGGGGTGAAAACCTTGATCTTTAGCACCGGCTGTCTGTTCTTTTGCTGAAGGGAGCCTTTGTTTGACTAGCGCATGTTCAGTGGAAATATGGATGCTCAGAAATGTTAAGTTTTTATAGGGCAAGAGGCCCAGCTTTTCCCTCTTGGATGGAACAGAGGAAGAGTTTAATTTTCCAAAGTATTGTAAGAATTTGTTTCTAAGTACCAACAAGTGAGGCACATCTAAGAAAAACAGATGCTCGGCTATGGAGAGAATCAATGCTGTAGTAAAGAGAGTGGGACTTTTTAAAAAAACAGCAGCATGCTTCAAGCTAAAAGCCACGCTGACCAGGAAGCCCTATTTATCCCCTTCTGTCTGGATCCTATGTTCTATATGTCATCTGAATGCTCCAACAATTCTATTTTTCCTGGCAGAAATTTCCCTGCCTGGTGATTCCAGGTCTCTTCTCATTCCTTATCACCCTTTTTCGGTTCATTTTGTCTTTTGGATTTTGCTGCAAGTCGATGCATGTGTAGAAATGGCAGCTACTGTGTAACGTTTTTACTTGCTAATCTCTCTCTTTCCTGCTGTACCTTCCCCTCTCTACTCCCAAAGACTAAGCCATAGCAAACTGTGCTGCTTAGCTAGAGGACAGCTTTCCCTTCGTCAGTGTGTTGCTTTTAATTTAAGGTGTGTGACAGATGCTGTAACCAAGGGATAACAATCTGCTCTAGTGGAGCCGAACTTGGTTTGTGCATGTTGGTGGACGGATGTGTAAATCTGTCAAAAACTTGCTTCATTCCTGGATTGCGGGTTCTTCTGCGTGCATGTTTGGAGAGAGCATTTTATATTTCATGTGTTTACCCAGTCTGTAATGTTAATGATTAGGGAGACACAGGTGTGTTTGAGCACAAGATAGAAAGCCAGGAAGTCGTGAGTGCTAATCCCGTCTCTGACACTGATTCGCCCTTTGGCCTTGATCAAGTTACCTAGTCTCTCTGCATCAGTCTCCTCATCTCTGAAACGGGGATAATATCTGCCACACTTCCTCTACGCTTTTCTCTAGCACAGTCCGATGATGTGCTTGCACTCTGCATTTGACCCCGTTCTGAGTGTCGGACCTTTTAAATAAACATAAGCATTCAATAAGTAACATTTTAAAATAAAATTCTCTTTATGGCAAGACTCGGTCTCATAGATTCTAAGGTCAGAAGGGACCATCGTGATTATCTAGTCTGACCTCCTGTCTGAGAGCATGACAGGTCTGATCCAAATAAAAACTGTTATTGCATTTGGACACTCTTTTGCAAAGTGCTTTGCTTACTAAAGAGGAACTTGGCTGGCAGAGAGTTTGCAATTCACTAATCACGTTTGGTATTTTGAAACCAAACATTAAAAACCGCCACGACAAGAACACTTAAACCTCAGATACCATGTCCCGGTTGTAA